CCCCCCCCACACACACACACACTCACACGGGCTGCCTCCCAGCTGGGGGGTGGATTGGACAGGAGTCGCAGAATTTCTCCCTAAGAAACCCTGGGAGGTTTTTTCTTATTTGTTTTAAATAACTTGCATGGGTTATTTTTAATAATAAAAGTAAATATTGCTTATTGTAAAAAAAATAGGAAATATAAAAAAACAAGTGCACACCTCATTCATAATCCCACCATTCAGGGAATCCCACCACTGGGAGCACTGCCTGCGTCTACACATGTATGGGTACATAATTAGGATCCTGCTGGGTGTAATTTTGAATCTTGCTTTAACATGATAACTTTAGCATTTCCCATTTTCGCGCCTTATTAACAGTTATTCAAAAATAGTTTTCTGGGTTTTCTGAAATGTTTAATGATTTTTGTTTTAGGAAGAGGAAGGGGGCATGTTGATGAAACATGGATCGGTTGCCTCCTGTACACTCCAGACAGGGGCTTGAACCTGAGACCTGAGTATGTGCCCCGACCAGGAATTGGGGACATTTCCTGTTGTAGTAGTGACATTTCCTGTTATTACTGTCAACATTATTTCGCTGTTCCCGCCATCGGTGGAGGTCTGTGGGTGCTGACTCTGCAGTGGGTATATGGTATGCCGCGTCCCAGGCCGACTTCATAGCAACATTCTGGGTAGACACTGTCATTTTATAGATTAGGAAACAGAGGCACGGGAAGGCTAACTGACCTGACCAAGGGCGCATGGTGACCTGGCTGAGCTACGGGCTGGTGACGATGGAATCTATGCTTTAACTACCATGAGCTGCGATGACACGGCCATGCATGCACAACAGGAGCTGGTGCATCTCTCATTCACTACAACCACCTTCCTGGAGATGTAGTCAGTAGCTCAAGAGTGTAAGGGGGCACTGTCCTGGTTCGTCCTGGGTTTTGTTGGTTTCAGCACTGAAGGTCCTACATCCAAAGAAACCTCTCTGGCCACTCTACAGGGTTGTTAGCTGTAAAGGTTCTTCCTGCCCATTGCCAAATGTCCTTGAGAGGGGTTTGTCAACTTGTCCCTTATTGGCAGTCTGTACAGTCACATTTCTCTAGTTTCCCTGAGTTCAGCTTGATTTCTCTTAGTAGATGCTGCAGCAAGGACCTCTATCTCCTCTAATTTCTTGCATGATAATAATAATTATTATTAATAATAATACCCCTTTAGCCCTGGCTGGTGTTGCTCATGGTGAGAGCATCGGCCCGCTTGCCGAAGTGTCACTGGTTCGATTCCTGGTCAAGGGCAAGTGCCTCAGTACCAGGGGTGCGTGCAAGAGGCAACCAATCGATATGTCTCTCTCACATCGATGTTTCTCTTTCTCTCCTTCCTTCCTTCCCTCCTTTCCACTCTAAAAATTCAAAAGGAAAAATACCCTTGGGTGAGGATTTATGTCTTTACATAAAAATAAATAACACCCCTTCAACTATTTGGCTGAGTCCTTTAACAACTGTGCAGTGTGACTGTAGAGAGAAAATGCATCTGCCTCCTTTTCCCAGCTCCATGGGATGAACTGGGTAAACACATTAACTAGGGACTTAGGATGGAATAGGGAAAATGGAGTAGGGGACCCCCACCCCAGGGCGCTAGCAGGAGGTGAGCACTCCCACCCCCCACAACCTCCAACCCACTCCCACTGAGTCCACCGTTTACACTGCCAACCTCCTGAGGTATCGACAGGCATAGCCCTGCCCTGTGCCAGGCATCACCATGGCCTGAGGAGCCAGCACAGGCTCCAGAGCCACATGCAGGCTCTGCTTCAAACCGCAGCTCCAGGACCAACTGTAACCTTGGCCCAGTTGCTTTACTCCCTGAGCCTGGGTCTTCTTTTTCCTTTTCTGCATAATGGGGCCAGTAATAGCTTTGGAGGTTGTTGTAGAGATTTCTGATCATTCCAGGAAAGTGCTTGCACAGCCCCTGGGACACAGTAAGTGGGCGGTTCTCCTTACCTGGCTGAAGGACCGTTGAATTCTCCAGTGAGCATCTCAGCCAGCCTCCTGCCCCAAGCCACACACAAGCTGTTGTGTCCTGGGTACTTTGGTCATCACTTGCATGTCAAGATGTGATCCTTGTGTGTCTGTGGCACATGTCAGGGGAGACTGGGGCCTCAGGGCAGGAATGACAGCTGCTTATAAATGGAGGACTTCAGGAACTTTCTCAGGGTTCCCAGTTAGAAATGAGGCCAAGGACCTGGAAGGAGTGGGGAGGGTTCAAGCCTGTCTGCTATCCGGTCCCACAGGTGTTTTACCAGCTGCAGGGTGACATGGTTCTCCAAGTCCTGGAGCGAGGGAAACGCCGGGATGTGGTCATTCGTCAGGGAGAGGTGAGGCTGGGCCCAGGGGTGAGAGGTGAAGGGCCACTAAAACAGGAGCCTGTCGGGTCCACTGATCCTGGCTTTGGTCAGGGTGTGCCCTCCTGCCTTTTCCTGCCCTCCTGCCCACCGGACCCGCCCCAACCCCATCCTCGGGCACCCCCTCCTCTGGGCTGCCCCATCCTCAGCACAGCCCAGCATTTCCTCCTGTTCACTGGTAAAGGCTGGGCAGAGAGCTGGGCTGGGCTGGACCCTGTGGGTCAGCTGGGAGGCCCCAGATGCCGTAGGCACTGAGGTCTCCGTGGGGGACTGCAGCCTTGCTGACACCTTGTCCCCACCACTGCAGATATTCCTCCTGCCCGCTGGCGTCCCCCACTCTCCACAGAGGTTTGCCAACACCGTGGGACTGGTGATTGAGCGGAGGAGGCTGAAAACTGAGCTGGATGGGCTCAGGTAAATGGGGGTCTGAGGCAGAGATGGGGGGGAGGGATAGGCAAGCAGCTGGGAAAGGATCCGAGATAGACAAGAAAGCACTCCCCGGCCATTGAGCAGGAATGGGGAGGAATGGATCCTGTATTTGCCGGTTGGGGGGGCGAGGTTAGGGTAGGTGGTGGGATGGGTTTGATGATGGAGCCGCTGGGATATTCTCTGTGACCTCTGGCTGGGGTGAGCGCCTGTGATTTCTGCACCGTGGTCTGTTGGGGGGTGGGGTGGATCCAAGTCAGACGGCCTGGCTCAGGGCAGCTCAGAACACTGCAGCTTCTGCCAGCCTCTGCCCCCAGAGGTTAGCCAGGCTCAGCCAGGGCACCCCTCTGCCGCTCCCCTGCCCCGCTCAGTCCACAGCCAGCACTAACATTTGTATGGCCCTTGCTGTGGGCCAGGGCCAGCCTCAGCGCTTTATGTGTATTTATTCATTTAATTCTCACAATGATCCTATGGGGCAGGTACCGTTATCACCTGTACTTTCCAGGTGAAGAGACCGGGCCCAGGGAAGTTGAGTTTGTTAGAAAGTGGCAGAGCTGGCCTGACAGAGGAATACAAAGGGCCGGGATAGTCAGGACAGGGGTGGGAGTCAGCACCAGGGGGACAAGCACAGTGCAGAGCCGGGCACTGTTTCCAGAGCTGAGTTCCAGTTTGGTTCCAATCAATCACCCAATTATTAGCCTCCAAAAGGAGGGTGCAACCTGTGGCTCAGGGGACGCAGATTTTTACAAAAGCTAAACTACTTTTTGTACGTTTTAACTAAGAAAATTAAAAATTCCCAGCCAGTTACTAACATTTGTTATAATGGACATTTTTTAAATCCTTTCCTTTTTTTTTAATTACCAAAGTCATACACATGCATTCTTGGAATCCAGAAAAGTACAAGAAAGCATGAACAAAGTTAAAATTACCCGTCAGGGAAAGGGTGACAGTTATGGTATGTGATGGTATCTCAAAAAAATAAAAATAAAACAAACAATAATAAAGAGAACACACAAATAAATCCCACCAATTAACCCTAACAAAGCACTTAAGTTTCCATCTTGTCTTTTTCCTGTGCGTACCTGCACCTTCCAATGTCGCAGCCTTATTGCAAGCATGGGTTTGAGCTTTGTGTTTTTTTATATGAAAAAACTCACGAGTATTTCTTATACTATTAAATTCTTTTTTAAAAACACCATATTAAGGACTGCATGCTAATCTACTGAATACTAATAGTCTGTTGTAGAAGCAGATGCCTGGCCTGAAACTCTAAAAGAAATTTTCCCCTTGGGGCTTTATCTAGGGAGTCTTTAGCGATGGAGAGGACCGTTTCCTCAATAACATTTTTACAGCAAATTCAATAACAGATTTCATCTGGCTGCCTTGACCTTTAATAAAAGCCAGGGACTCAACATTAAAATTCACTCTGAAGGCAATTTCTGGATGACATCACAGTCCACTTATGAAGCTTGGTGGTGGCCAGTTCCACCCCAGGATAGAACTTGGGGTGCCGGGTGGGGTGGATGCACTGTGTCTGTAAGCAGGACCACTTCCCTTTTGGGGAGGAGCTGAAGAACAGGCGGAGCTGGCCTGGCCCTGGGAGCTGAGCCTGGGTGGGCTTCAGGGAGTGCCTTAGAGGCTACACGTACATGCATATGGACCTTCCTCCCGGGAAGAGGCCCAGGACTTCGCTCCAGTTCTCAAAGGCACCCATGGCCCTGGAAGCAGAAGGCTCCCTCGTCTGGGGGTCATCTTCCACGTGTTGGTTCCTTAAGGCTCCATGTGCTCTGACCTAGAGCTCCAGCAGGCAGACAGGGCATCCGGCCACAGCCCCTGGAGGCAGGCTCAGCCTCGGCTTCTGTTTCAGGATAAATGAAGATGCTTGTCATTGATGTCTCTACACTTCTAAGTCTCTCTCTAGTCTGTCCTGCTTCTGCCACTCACGGGCTGTGTAATCCCTGCTGAACGGCCCAGCTGCTCTGAGCCTCTGAGTTCGACCCTCTCCATAAATCGTCAGGTTTCGGGAACCAGGAAGAGCTATGGGAATGGAGTGGGTCACAGCCCTCTCACTTTGGGGCTCATGCTGCTGCTGGGAGAGCCGGCTGTGGCCACTAGGTTGTGCTAACAGGGTGAAGCAGGCAGCCAGCTCTGCGGAGCCAGCCAGGCCCAGGGGCCGACACGCAGAGCTGGGCCAGGGAGGCTTCCCTGAGGCTGCGGAGGTGGGGAACTGGTTGCCCATCCTTTGCTCTGGCAGGTACTACGTAGGAGACACCACGGATGTCCTATTTGAGAAGTGGTTCTACTGCGAGGACCTCGGCACACAGCTGGCCCCCATCATCCAGGAGTGAGGCCCACCCCAGCCCCGGCCCCTCATTCTTCTGAGGCCCTGCGCTCTGGCTGGGGAGAGAGGCCCATCTGAAAAGTGCTCCGCGGAGCACCTGCCAGCCTGGAGCCATTGGGTTTAGGGAGGAAGTTTTCCTCTCCCAGGGTGGGAGGCCTGGGCTGGAAACCCCCCTGGGGAGGGAAGGAGGCTGCTCCACGGGGCTGGGAGGGAGCAGATGGCAGAATGAGTCATATGAGGGCCCCACAAGTATGTGTGGGCTCCTGCGCCCGAGAGTGAGAGTGTGTGTGTCTCACTGACCTCTCAGTTGGGAACACTGGCCCCTCTTCCTCCTCCCCGTATGTCCTGCAGGTTCTTCAGCTCTGAGCAGCACAGAACAGGAAAGCCCATCCCTGGTGAGGCCACAGGAACCAACTTCTCCCCCCACCCCCTTCCCTCCTTTCCCAGAGTAGGATGGGGCTCTGCCCAGGGCACTAGGGAGTCCCCTTTTGAGTACTCTGCCCAGTACTCAAGGTACAGGAAGATGGCACCAAATGGTACCCCCCATATGGCTGATGAGTCCCCTTGGGCTGGATACAGAGCCCATTCCTGCAATGGAGAGCTGGGGCCCCTGGGAACTGGGTCTGTGGGGTCAGGGAGGGCTGGGCCAGAGGACACTGACCACAGCTGGGCCATGGGTGCAGACCAGCTGCGCAAGGAAACGCCATTCCCCCTGAGCACGCGATCCGTCATGGAGCCCGTGGCCCTGGAGGCCTGGCTGGCTGGCCACCGCAGGGAGCTACAGGGGGGCACACCCCTCAGCCTGTTTGGGGACACCTATGAGACCCAGGTAATACAGCGCTGCGCCACCCTGGGATTCTACTCAGCAGCCCGGGAAGTGGGAACTACACACACACACACACAGGCCTTCCTGTTTCTTCCCTGACTCAGAAAATGATGGCTCTGCTAGAGCGGAGGTCGGTGGAGGCTATGTGGTCCCAAGCAATCTTTCATTGCCTTCAGAGCAGGGCGTTGCCTCATCCAGTGATAGGTTTCTAGGGTCTGAGGTTATCCCCCTGCTAGGAATTCCTGAGCCTTTGGCCAGTCACAACCTTGGGAGTTGGAAGGAAGAGAGGTGTTTGGGGTAAGGGGTGGGTGGAAAGGTACATTCATTCAACATTTATTAAGTGTCTATTATGTTTCAGGCTTTGGTAAGAAAATTAGTATCATGGCCTCAAAGAGTTTATGGTCTGGTAAATGGACAGGTTCATCAGTTACCACAATCATGTGACATTATTTGGTAGAAAAGCATTCAGCAGCTATAGGAGGGTAAAGGAGGGACCCACACTGGGATGGAAGTCAGGGAAGGCTTCCTGGAGGATGTGCCATGTAAGCTGCATTTTAAAGTGAACATAGGCATTTGCAAAAGGAAGACAGGGTGGAAGAGGAAGCATCCTGGGTGAAGGAGAAGCATGAGCAAAGGCCTGGAAGCTTGAACAGGTTGGCACTGCAAAGCGGCTGAGGTTGGCAAAAGCCAGGGCGGGGAGTGGGGGCACCAGGCATGACTCTGGAAGGCCAGAGTAGCAGGCAGTGCCAGATCCTGGCCAGTTTCCTGGGGTAGGAGGTTCAACTTATCCTGGAAACAACAGAACTTCACCCAGGCATTGACACAGGGGCATGAGGAGGCCAGAGTGGTGTTTTAGAAAGATCACTGTACCGGTGTGGGGTGGGATCAGGAGGGCAAGCATGGATGCAGGGAGGCCCGCTGGAAGGCTCGTGCTCGCTGGTGCTTTACAATTTGCTACTGGCACATCCTTGCAGCTTGAATTAGACAACCCCCGGAGGGATGCTCACTGGACACAGACCTGCCCCTAGAGGCCTCAGCTTAGCAGGGCTGCGAGAGCAGGCGCACACGCAAAGCCCCGCCAGCCGCCCCGGCAACGCCATGCAGCGCTGAGCCAGGGCGTGGCCCTGCCGTCCGCCTCTCACCCTTCCTTCCACCTGCTTCAGTTCATGCCGACAAACACCTACTGAGTCCCCCTCTCGGCCAGCCCAGCGGAAGTATGGCCTGCACTGCAGCTGCGAGCCCGAGGCTGACGCAGGTCACAGAGGCTCAGCCTCCCTCGTTCCTGCTCCTTAAGCCAGAATTCCAGTCAGGGAGATGGCGCCCCTTGGGGAACTGCGTGTGGGCTACGTGGGTCTGCACGTGCGCCCCTGCAGGGACGCCTTCCTGCGGGTCAGCAGTTGCCGTGACACGCTACAGAGGGACCAGGTGTACACGTGTGCATGGAGGGCGGGCACGTGTGATCCCAAGCGGCAGGTGGGAAGCGCCAGTCGTGGAGGCAGCAGGGAGGCCTGCAGCCTGGGCAGCCTTCTCTCCAGGCCCCGGTCTTTGCATCACACAGGGAAAGAGGTTGCACTGCAGGCTCCACCCGTGGCCCACACAGGCTTGGTGTCAGGGGCCAGGTTTAAGGCTATCTCCTTTGGGGGCGGCAAGCACCAAGAAGATCTGTGTCACTTCCTACCAGGTGATCGTCCACGGACAAGGCAGCAGCAAGGGCCCGGGGCAGGACGTGGACCTGTGGCTGTGGCAGCTGGCAAGTGGGGCCCGCAGGAGGGGGTGGCACAACCTCAGGCTGCTCCTGGGCCGTGGGCTCCCAGGGCCTCCTCGCCAGGGCAGACTCAGGGCTCTCGGACAGGTGCTGAGGCCTGGGAGCCTGCATTTGATTCCCCTGCTCCTCTCCCTCAGGAGGGCTCCTCCACGGTGACCATGGGGGGACAGCGCCTGAGCCTGACCCCTGACGAAAGCCTCCTGGTGCCAGCCGGGACCGAGTGAGTCCACCGGGAGGCCTTTCCCGGCTGTGGGACTGCCCTCCTTTCCCTGGGGTCCTTAGGGCCCAGCCTTGCCTGACCCCTCCCTGCCCACCTGTGTCTCCACAGGTACACCTGGGAGCGAGCGCAAGGCTCTGTGGCCCTGGCTGTGACCCAGGACCCTGCCCGCAAGAAGCCCCTGGGGTGACTGTCTTGCTGTGGGCCAAAACAGCCACAGGATGTGCCACAGTGCCCCCCGGCCCACCACTACCCTCCCAGCCCCACTGCTCCTAGGTGTATCACTGCTGGGTGACTCAGCGCCCCGCTGGGCTCTGGACATCACAGGCATCCATCCCCCTCCCTTCCGCTCATCCCAGACTCTCCCCTTCTCCTCTACCAGCCCTCAGCCCACCGCCTCGCACTGTTCTGCCAGGTCCTCCATCCCAGGCCGGGCTGCCTCTCCATCCGTCTGTCCCCACAGGCTCAGTTCACCTCTTGTCTGCCACCGAGAAGGCCCCCAGTAAAGACTTCCTGGTGGACCAGCACCCGTGGCCTGCGCGGACTCAGGCCGTGGCCAGTGGCTGACTCCATGTCTTTCTGTAACTGTGTTGCCTGCAGTGTCCGGGCACCGGGTGACTGTGGCTGTGTGGAGAGTCTATTAGGGGGCATCCCTCCTTGCAGAAGGGCTCTCATCACTGCATGTGGCCCAATCCACACAGGCCCCTGGGGCTGTCCTGGGGCACAGCTGGTGTCGTCTCTCTGCCTCTTTCCCACGTATTCTTTTCACATAAATTTTAAAAATAGCATCTGTTAGGTCACTTCCCCCCCCCCC